CTTTTATTAATAAATTTGGATTTAATCGGCTGTAATTCGGCAGCCGAATAACCCAATTTGGACTAGTGTTATACTGATTTAATATAATTCAATAAACAAATAATTTTAATCTAATTAATAATTAAAATATTATTAAAAATATAAATTTTTCTTTTTCTTTTTTTTAAAAGCTAAAATGCAATACATGCGCAATATTAATATAAATTTTTATTTGTTCTCAAGCTTAAATAAAATTTATTGAATATTACAAATAAACTAAATTTTAAAATAATAATATAAAAATTTATTATTTGCTTTTTTTATATTTAAACAAATATACAACCAGATTTCAATATAGTAATACTTATTATTATATTATAAACTATATATAATTAAATCATTTACTATTAATATACAGTAAAAAAAAATTTACTGTAATTATGCTAATAAAGTCACGTGATGAGCAGAATAACATGTCCTTCATTACACTCCGGACAATAAGTAAAATTTGTATTCCATAAAATTCTAATCTATAACTTGGTGTTAAATTAAATTTCAAATTATATTTATTATTTTAAATCTTATTCGAGATTTTGGTTTATTTTCTTCGATCCACTTTTATTTTCACGATCTTCAAACCCTTACCGAAAAATATAAATCATTACAGCACGAAAATTCCACTTAAAACAATCTGTCCTAAGGATACATACAGGAACCCCTGCGGTCTGAACAGCGAATTGATGTGTTGAATACTTCCGAGTATGAACGAAAATTTATTATATAAACTATATTTTTTCTAAATAATTACAAGTTAATCGCCTTAGTCAAGATCCGGAGGTAAGTTTATAATTTTGTTTTAAATATCGGTTTGTTGAATGCTACATCATATCACCTCCCATACCTCCCATACCTCCCATACCAGGTGCACCCACGCCGTGGCCTTTTTCTTCTACAAGATTTGTAACGAAAAACGATATTAAAAATTTTAATTCAAATTAAGAAAAAAAAAAAAACTCACTAACCAGGAGCTTCCGTGATCATACATTCTGTTGTTGTTAGTAAGCTAGCTACACCGGAAGCATCAACAAGAGCCGTTCTCACGACCTTTAAGGGATCTACAATGCCACGTGCGGTCAGGTCACAATATTCACTTAAAGCAGCGTCATAGCCATAGTTAAAGTTATCTCCATGATCTCCCAATAGTCTTCCCACAATGACTGCACCTTCTTCCCCAGCATTATCTATAATTGTTCGTGCAGGTTTTTGAAGGGCTGATCTAACAATATCTATACCCAACTTTTGATCAAAATTAGCAGGCTTCAGGGAGTCTAAGCACTTGATGGATTTTAAAAGCGCGATTCCGCCACCTGGGACAATTCCTTCTTCAACGGCTGCTCGTGTGGCATTTAAAGCATCAACAAAACGATCCTTTTTTTCACCGACTTCAACTTCTGAAGAACCTCCCACCCGGATTACTGCAACGCCTCCTGACAGTTTAGCAAGTCGCTCTTGGAGTTTTTCTTTCTCATAATCTGACACAGATGGATCATTAATAGCGGCACGAATCTGCTCGCACCTCTGGTTGATCTGTTCTTTAGAACCTTCCCCGTTAAGTAAAATAGCATCTTCTTTAGTTATAGTAGCAGAACCAACTGACCCAAATAAATCAGGTGTAAAACGTTCAAGCTTAATGTCTAATTCATCTGAGAAAACCGTTCCGCCTGTCAAAATAGCCAAATCACCCAAAATAGATTTACGATTATCGCCAAAGCCTGGTGCCTTGATTGCGACAACCTGAACGTTTCCTCGAAGCTTATTTAGTATGCATGCAGCCAAAGCGTCTCCATCAATGTCTTCAGCAATGATCAAAAGCGGCTTGCGCTGTTGGGCTGAGGCGTCTAAAGCTGGAAGAATATCTTGAAGGGCTGATATCTTCTTTTCAGACAAAAGAACAAAGGCCTTTTCAAACTCAGCTTTTTGAGTTTTAACATCAGTTATAAAGTAAGGAGAGATATATCCACGATCAAATCTCATTCCCTCAGTTATTTCAAGTTCGTCTTCAATAGTCTTTCCTTCCTTTACAGTGATAACACCCTCCTTTCCAACCTTTTCCATTGCACTCGCGATTAGCTTACCAACGTGCGTATCACCATTAGCTGAAATGGTAGCGACCTTAAATTAATTATTGGTTAATAATTAATATATTCTCTATATGTCAATAAAAGAAAGATAAATCATATTGTCTTGATAGGAATGTCTCCGATGGACCAATTTACCTGAGCGATCTCTTCACTGGTGGTGATTACGCGACTGTTTTCTCTCAAGAATTTAACAATCGCATCAACGGCTAATTGGACACCACGGCGGAGATCCATAGGGTTGCAACCAGCAGCAACATTTTTCACTCCTTCGACGAAAATTGCGCGAGTAAGAATTGTAGCTGTAGTCGTACCATCTCCAGCAATTTCATTTGTCTTATTTGCGACATCCTGAACCAGCCTAGAAATAGAAGTATAAACGTTGAAGTGAGATTGCATAAATTTTTATGATCTATCCAGTGTAATTTGGGATCGCAGATTCACGCAATTAATCTGATAAAACTATTGTATCTAACCGGGCCCGCCATCCCAGGACAATGAGACGGTTCTGCTGACATTTGCCGATACGATTCATGTTACACTACAACAATATCATGTGATAAACGCGCTCTTATTTCGCGTAGAAAGTAATTTATTTTGGAATTAGTGTAACATCTGAATTACCTGGCCCCAAGATTTTCAAATTTATCTTGAAGTGTTATGCTTTTAGCTACCGTAACGCCATCTTTCGTAATTTTCGGGCTTCCATAAGGTTGTTCAATTATCACGTTACGTCCTTTAGGTCCTAACGTGACGGCAACAGCTTTGGACAATAAGTCGATGCCCTTTAGTAAAGAAGCACGCCCCTCAACGGAAAATCTAAGTTCTTTATGAGTGGCATATTGTCGTGACAGCATATTTGTTCCCGCATTTTTACTTGTTACTGAGAGACGTGTTGGAAAGCGAGCAAACTGGAACTTGTTAAATAGCGAAGCACGTTGCATATGGTCGAGTTAATGTAATAATGAGGGTAAGATACAAAATAAAGAGGGTAGACACAACAAACAAAAATATGTAAGTTACGTGAATTTAAGATGTTCGAAAATAAAAAATTTTTTTTAATCTTTCTCGTCTTTTATTGGTCAGCAATAAAATTCTTCCATCAGTTTCTAAAATCCCGAGTTTCGGACGATTTCGGCACCTATTTCTTGTGAATGGAAAGTTGTAGAATATTCTCAATAATAATAATAGTAATAATTGGTAGAAACAGATCTGATCCTTGAAATCTGATAAAAATAAAAAAAACTCGAAAAATTTTTTCCTTCTTGAATTCCAGGATTGAAACATATTAGTAATGGTTCGCGTTTATTAAAATATGAGAAAAAGTAATTTTTCGTTTAGTTGATTAATTTTTTTTTCTTGACATTCCTTTTAGTCTTTGGCTGTGAGAAATGTCAAATCTATTGTCCCACTTCTCGATCGCGTACTCGTACAGCGTATCAAAGCGCAACAGGTTTGTCCGAAAAACCTTCCTTAAATACAACGTAAGCTCTTCTCTTCAAATAAGCTTATACAAAATTTATCTTCTTAGAAAACTGCCGCTGGTATTTTAATCCCTGAAAAATCACTAGAAACATTAAATGAGGGGCAAGTTATATCTGTGGGCAAAGGCACATTAAATAAGGTATTTTATATCCTCGAAAAATTCTTTGGATCGATTCACGTATTGATATGTTATTATCACGTGAACAAATTACATAAAGGATGGAAAACATATTTCAAATCAAGTTAAACCCGGAGACCGTGTCCTCCTCCCCTCATATGGAGGCAGTACTATTAAAGTTGGAGATGAGGTAAGAAGATCAAATCATTTCAAGTTTTTGGACTCTTATTCAATAGTTACTAAATCGCTCCTCTTTCTCAGGAGTATATTTTATTCAGAGACTCGGAAATTCTGGCTAAAATTGAAGAAAAATCCTAAAAGATTTTTTTTTTTTTTTTGACGTAACTATCATACTCTACTTACCCTCTATTATAGCACTTATAAATGCAAATTAACGCGTATTATCATCTAGGTCCTATTAAATTCATTGAACGAATATAAGTTTTCTTTTTATTGACACGCATTAACATGAATACGAGTTATTATTTACCAATGATAAATTCTATAAATTTCTGACCAACCAATAAACTATCATCGTCTCGGTCTGACGCTTTCAGGCACATTTGGGAAAAGTGAGGATCAAAAATACCTTTTTCTTGTCGATACTTGATCAATTCTTTGACTACGCCCCCAACGAATTCTGGGTGGCCTTGAATGGTGACAACCTGATTTTCCTTTAACATTCCTTGAACAGAAGATTTCGTCGTATATCCCAAGTTAATAAAATTTGGAGGAACGAGGCAGACATGATCCTACCAGACAAACGTAAAAGATAGTTTTATCTTTGTCAAAAGTTTACACCAAAACAAAGAATTCTAAATCGTACCTGGTGCATTTCTTGAAGACGCTTTAAAATATTCTTGTTAATCGTAGTTTTAAATACAATTATTGTTTTGTGATAACCTACCAAGAATCTCTTATCATCACCAAAGAATTTTCTTCCGGCTTCGGTTAATGAAATCTCTGTTACTGCAACCTACAGTACAATAAAAACATGAATAAAATATCTAGAATAAAAGATAAGATGCAACATTTAAGAATCTGATGGCTTCACCTCCCAGCCAATAGGATTTTTGATAACTTTTCCACCCATGGCTCTGGCAACGATTTGATGCCCAAAACAAACTCCAATCAATTTGACGTTGGTATGCTTTTCAATGATAAATTTTGTAAAATCGACAAGGCGATTTATCCAAGGAATGTCATCATATGCAGAGGCAGCTAGATATCGGTCGAAACTAAGTACGTTTGTATTATGATATTTATAAATTTATTAGATCACGAGCATACCAGACCCTGAAATTATTATGCCATCGGTTTCCAAAAGTTCGTCGTCATTCGGAAACTCCAATTTTTGTACTTCGTAAGACTTGATTTTTAACGATAAATCTTTGTTTGGGTCATTTTCAATGGCTCTTTGTAAAAATCTTGAAAATTGTACTTCATAATCTCCATATTGTTCAACAACTTTTGGAATAGGTGTGTCTGCAAGAAGAAAAATCAATCTTACAATTTTCTCCAATTTTCTCTTAGCAATATCCATGATGGTAAGAGAAGTGCGTATTCACTGTCTTTTTACATGGAATTTTAAATAAATGTTCTATTACTAGTATGAATTTAATCATCAACAGATATGTAATAGTTAAAAAATTAGAAAAAAATGTGATTCCTGAAATGGTTAACTTTCAAGTAATTTATTACAAATTAAAATAAAAACGTTTTTTAATATCTGATATGGGGCTTTAAACAATAATTAAAATAAAAAACATTAATAATAACAATATTATTATTATTATTTTATTTATTTATTTTTGTAAATTATTTTTAAAAAAATAATATATACTATATATATAATTATAAAAACTTATAAAAAAAAATATTACATTTATACCTTGCGCACGTTCCACTAAAAAAAAAAAAAAAAAAAAAAAAAAAAAAA